TGAAAACTTTTCTCCCCGTTGATTATGTACATTGTGACGGTTAGCGTGTACGCTTTTTAATTGAAATGTGAGCTCCAGTGCTTGCAAAAGTTATACACAATATAATACAAAGCATACATGAACTCATCGCAATCACTAAAATTCGCGGACTAAACCGCAAAATTGATTTCGCTATTCTTCCCTTCAACCTATACTTAACCTTAGCACTTCAAATGCCACTCACCTTGAAGTTCCCAACGTTTCTACCCAAAGCTGGTATCTGCGTCTTTATCCACCAATCAATCTCTGCCTCCAGAATACTAAATCTTAACTTTTCAAATCGTGAATTCTAGCCGATATGGCTGAAACTGATCTTTCTCAGTCCTTATTTTAGTGTCCTACATTATGGTGATGGTTCCCCCATGTTTGATTTGTCGTATTCTAACATTGAACACCTTTTTTTGTTACGGACCCTAACTGTGACGTTTCCAGCTTGGGAGATTCGAACTTCCATAATCAGCTATGGTTGACATTTTATTCTTTTAATTCTTTCGGAGAGGGGGCAAAGCCAAACACATTTCGCTTGATCAACAAACTAGACCAGCCAGTTAACCTCGCATACGTGTCCCTAATGGGGTTGACGACTGCATCCTTACCTTCAATCTCCCTTCACGTGAGCCATAAGATCAATGCATTGTTCCATCAAGTTTACTTGCCCCACTGCGTCACACACCTCGAGGCATATTTTGGCAGTAAAACTCAGCAAACCGGGATGGTGTTATTGTGTCCTAGCCTCTTAGCCTTGGATCGACCGTTGTTTCACTTGAAACTTTTCCAAATTGGCCTCCAACTTCACCAATATTTTTTAAAAATACTCATCTTTTTATTCCATATTTCTCTACCTCCCCCCCCCCCCCCCGAATGAGTCTATCACGCAGTTGGTCGTACCGTGCACCTAAAACTGAAAGCTTGAATACAATACAACCAGAAGATTATGCTTATCTATCGCAAAACCCATTTGATTTACACACGCCCGGCGTGAGCTGTGTAATGAACAATAGCAGCCCTCAAATTGCCATGACCATCTGCCGTCAATCCCATACCACAATAAGCATCTTACCAACAATCACTGAGAGACATTACCACATTGATCATGCGATTAGGATTGTTAATACGTACTCACGTCTTCACCATCATTCCTCACCTCAATCATTTCTAGTTTGTATATACATATCGAAATAAAAATCATGCTGTTAACCAGAGAGTCATTTTACTCTACAGCTGCCAATTCAATATCGGGTTCATTAGATCGATCATCACAAGCGTTAATTGTTTAACATAATCCATTACTGGAAGGACCGGATGTGTTGGTTCCAAGAAGTAATTTTTTCGGCACTGAATCATACCATATAGCTGCTAATTTGGAGCTAGGAGACAAGGGGTTTCCCATCATTGAGGGAAAACAACCGTCTATCAACTGGGAAGCGAGGTTATTACAGAAAAACTAACAACAATCTTTTTGTTGCTCCGGGTAGGGGTGATTAATATCTTATTACTTAGTTCACACCTCTTGTGATCGTGAATTTCATGTCTCTAATCGCGGATCACATTTAGGATTTATGCACCAAATAGAAAACACGAGTGTTGCAAGTCACTTATCGTGCCAAACAAATCACTCGCATGACCAAAAAAGTTATACAAGGACGGGGAGAGAGGATATCACGAGGAGATAGGTCATATTAGGCAGGAGCGTTGAATACAACCAAATCGCAGTTACACGAAGCAAAACGAAACAAGAGAGGTATACAAAAGAACCGCAAATAGTTTTGTGTCTGAGTATGAAAGAGAAAACAATGGGACTTCAAATATGGAAGAAAAGGAGCAGACAACATTTAGAAATCACAGAATCGAAGAACAAGTAAAACCAAAAGACAAACTAAGGATAGGAGACAGGGAGCAAAAACATGTGTATGATGAGTCAAATATTAAAAAATGTACACAGATCAACTGAGTGGACAGTACGAGGACGAGCAAGACGAAACAGTTAAAACAGTGCTCGGTCAAACTGAAGGAGGAGTGGCATGTGCACGACAAGAGCGTCCAGTTTTGGTGGGACAGAGCTGCTTCTCGAATAACGATTCCCAATGGGCTCGATGGGAACGAAATAGTTGGCATAGGATGGCCTCTAGCAGAAAGTGTACAAAACGACGATTAAAGCGCTCCTCCTGGAGCAGACGGAAAACACGAAGCACTCCACGACGAGTTGTCTCGTTACCTAGGAATTGCGCCAAATCCTCTGAAGGAAGATTTAATAACAAAGAGAAATGGAAAAATAGCCATTAGTGAATCATGTTACGTCGGGATTATCAGAAATGGTATTCAAGGAAAAACTATCAGCTCTTCTAGTCTCCATCTCAAATCAGAATGAAGGTGTCAGTTCACAAAAATCAGGCTTAAACACCAAAGTTAACATTTGAACAGCGAACGGGTCAGTACTGACCCCTGTCTAACTTGGCAGGTGCGTAGTAGCGCAATCATGTCAACTGCATTATTGTACATTTGAGACGTTTCGCTCTCCGGAGAGTAGCAGTACTGACCCAACCCGAGTTGTCTCGGATTGATCACGCTGCACTAACAGGCGACGAACTCAAAGGTATGGGTGGCCGTGAGCAGTCATTGGGCAACTTTTAACCAATTAACGAGTCATTCGGTTTACTTCATCGAACAGTAACGAAAGTCGATCAACACAGATGAGGATATGAAGAATTTCGTCAGTAGAAGATCCAAAGTTGGGAAGATATGGTAACGATGACAGGGGAACCAGAAGTTCGGGTGGCTTCGGTCGTGCTTGCTTCAGTTTAATGAAATTTAATTTATAGGGATGGAAAGCAGAAACCAGTGGAATCGAGCGACGATAAAGACCCGCCA